TCAACCACTTAGTGGCTATGGATATGTCTTTGTCCCTTTCTGTATTTCCATTTTCCCACCTGGCTGGGGAAGGAGTCAGACTATCTCTTAGAGCCCTGGATGGGTCCAGAGCAACACTGCCCCATAAAAATACAATGTGAGCCACATGTATAATTTTTAAATTTTCTAATGGCTACATTCAGAAAACTAAAAAACACAGATAAAATTAATTTAATAATTATGCTAATATTATTAATTTGACAATTACGTAATGATGTTTTATCCAGCTCAACACATCTGAAACATAATCATTTCAACATGTAATCAATATTAAAAAAATCAATGTAAAATTCACAGGTTCCTTTACGCTTTTTTCTTGCTAAGTCTCCGAAATCCAGTGTTTGTTTCACACTTAACAGCACATCTCAGTTCAGATCAGCCCCATTTCAAGAGCTCGGCAGCCACTGAACGGCTACCATAATGGACATTGCAGGTCTAGAATCTTTTTTAGGCCACAGCCCATTTTAGGAGGATATGATGCCTCAGCTTTCTCTCTTCCCCCTGGGAAAGCTCTCCTGATCCTAGACTCTGAGCTGACAAGTCCCATGGAAGCCCAGGACCAGGAGATTGAGGCCACAATGAAGAGAAACCCCAGGTCTGCCTGAGCCAAGGAGGCTGGTGGCTGCTAGGAACGCTCCCTGTTCCTCTGCAGCTCGACTACTCACCAAAACTCCTGCAAGGGAGACAATCCTGCTTTTCCTCCTAACCCAAAGATTCCCTTAATTGGAAAATCAGTCTGAGCTTAAAACCGAGCCAGGGAGCTGCCCCCCACATGGTGAGAGCCCTGCAGGCATACAGGACGTGTTCCCTAGACACATGAGGAATCCAAGTCTCCCCTGCTCTCCCCTCCCGGCAGATCTTGTGGAGGAAGCTGGACACCTTCTCACTCCAGACATTCAGTTCCCAGCTATGGGCCTGGTAGCCTTCTCAAACAGAGCTCAACATCGTCATGTTCAAGGGCACAGGCCTTGGTGGCAAGGACAAGGAGGTCAGGGAAAGCAAGGGGGCAGAGAGGGGCAAGATTTTGCCCCCACCAGGTGAGAGCCTGGGGAAATAAATCCCTCCTTCTTCCCAAGCTTCTATTTCCTCACCTTTAAAATCGAACAGGTTAGATGATAATGACCGCTTTTGCTGCACCAGGCATTTCCTAGGCATTAGCTCATCTACTCCTCAAAACAACCCTAGGAGGAAAGAAGATCCAGGGTTCAGAGTGGTGAAGCCCCTTGGTCACACAGAGGAGCAAGAACTCTAACTCATGATCTTCTGAATCAAGAGCCTAAGCTCTTACCTGTTGTAAGCTCTGCCATGTCCCAGGGTGGCCCAGGACAGTCTGGCTTATGCCTGTCACAATGATAGACGCTTGGCCTAATAGTGAAAAATGTTCCCTTTGGAAGAAGGGACAAATCTTCCTTCCAGAAGAATTCCAGCTAATGTATGTTGATACTCCTCCCTCTGGAGCTTAATTCCAGAACTTTCTCCCTCTTAAGTGTGGACTGAACTTAGTGTCTGGATTCCAAAGAACAGAGAATGGGGAAGGGGAAATGGTAACTTTATAGCAGAGAAACCTGGCAGATATCAGGTGTTCAAGGTTAATGTCATCTGTGATGAGTCATGTTAAGACCACATGCCCCTGATATGATATATGATATGATACAATATGATATGATATGATGTGATATGATATGATATGGTATCTTACCTCCTGTGGTCTTCTTCCCCCAAACCTATAACCTCAGTGTAACAATGAGACAAACATCAGACAAACTGAGGGACGTTCTACAAAATGCCTGGCCAGTTCTCAAAACTGTCAAGGTCATGAAAAATAAGGGAAGGCTGAAAAACTGTCCCAGACCAGAGAAGACTAAGGAGACATGACCACTGCATGCAATGTGGGATACCGGATGGAATCTGAAACAGGAAATGGATAGAGGTGGGAAAACTAGTACAATTCAAACGAAGTCTGGAGTTAACAGTAATGTACCAGTGTTGGCTGTGACCAGTGCATTATGGTAACATAAGAACTCAACGCTAGGGGAAACTGGGCCATCTTAATGATACTAACTGCTCACACATTCACACCATTTTAAAGTTTACAAAGTTCAGAGATAGCAAGATGTGCTGGTTAAAGCTTCAGAATCAGAAATTTAGGAGCGCCTGGGTGGCTCAGTTGGTTAAGCGACTGCCTTCAGCTCAGGTCATGATCCTGGAGTCCCGGGATCGAGTCCTGCATCGGGCTTCCTGCTCGGCAGGGAGTCTGCTTCTCCCTCTGACCCTCTTCCCTCTCGCTCTCTATCTCATTCTCTCTCTCTCAAATAAATAAATAAAATCTTTAATAAAAAAAAAGAATCAGAAATTTAGGAGCTGGAGCCTTGGTTCTCCCACTTGCTTGCCAGGTGGTCTCGGGGGATATTACATTCTTTCTCTGGGCCTCAGTTTCCACATCTGTATAATGAATTCATTAAATGATGACAATGACTAGTAATGCTTACTGAGCCTTCGCTAGGTCCAGCACTGTAGCGGGTACTGTGACATGCCCCCCAGTTTCCTCTTCAGGACCCAAAGGCTTATGTCTCCTCTCCTCCTCCCCCAGCTGGTCAGAGGGGCACCACCTATCAGCCCTGCCCAGGGATGGCCTGTGGCTGAAGAGAACTGTCCAGCCCCAGGTCACACTCCTTTCTGGAGGGTAGCTGCAGCCAGAGCAGAGGGTATAAAGATCCAGTGCCCTCTCCTCAACTAGGGACGACTGTGAAGGTCATCTCCACTGCAGCACACCTCTTGTGGTTGGCTGAGGCCTTTGTGGAGACTGCAGCCCAGCATCTCCCTCTGCCCAACCCAGCTTCCTTCCCTTCCCCACAAATGTTGCTCCTGCGTGTTCCCCATAAACTCACCTCATGACAGGACTGTAAACCACGGGACCTGTACTACCTTTCTTAACCCTCAGACTAACCCTATTTTTATAGATGACACAACTGATATTGAAGACGAAAACTGATTTGGCCAAGAACATATAACTAAGAAATGGAAGCGCCCCAGGTGGGCAAACTGAAGGTTGGATAGGCAAACTGATCTTCCCAGGTCTCTGAGCAAACAGATGATAGAACCAAGATTTGGTCCTATGTCTGCTTTACCCTGAAGACCACGGTGCCACAGCTCTAGCCCAGGTCATTTAGAGCCCCCAGCAGGATTGCTACGGGCACCGGAACAGACGAGTGCTTTTCACCACTGTCCCACCACACCTGCTGCCCTCCCTGCAGCTCACCCCACATTTGCAAGATGGGAATAATAACAGTACCTACCTTTTTTGAGATGTTGTAAAGATTAAGAGAGTTAATTTATGTAAAGGCCTCAGAACAGTGGGGCATAAAAAACCCTTTATAAAAAGCAGGTTGAAAACAAATCACACAAGCAGCGTAAGGTTGAAATGTGAGACACTGTAAGAAAATGTCCATGCAATCCTGTGAGGTCAGCCTGTAACAGGGGGCTGGGCTCCATCAGCCCCCTAAGGGAGTCAGGCTTTACCTGAGCTCTGAAAGAGGTGTAGGAATTAAATGGGCAGCAAGGCGGAGGAAGAGCAGTCTAAGCAAAGAACCAGTAGGAATAAAAGCTCTCTGGCAGAAAGAACTAAAGAAGGATGATAAAAGGCCAGCATGACTAGCACACAGAATAAAATTCAAGTCCAGGGCAAGAGTGGTAGAAAATGAGGCTGAATGGGAGTGTAGAACCAGATTATGAAGGGCCACTCACTACCTGGGTGATTTGGGACAAGTCACTTTATATCTCTAAGCCTCATTTAACCCATGTGTAAAATGGAAATAAAACCAGAACGGGTCTTATAAGGAGATTAAATGAGTCAATATTTGTAAACTACTAGAACAGTGCCATGTACACAGCGAGAACTATAAATGTTTGCAGACAACATTAAGACTTTTTCTGAAGGACAATGAGAAGACATGGAGGGGTCCGAATATGGATGAAAGGGTGGGTGCTGAATGGATAGGAAGGTGGATGGACACAGGGCTAGTAGGTGGATGGGTGACAGTAGCTGGGTGAGTGGAAGAGAAGAGGGATTGTTGAATGGAAGTTATGGTTGGGCTCTAGAGGTGGCTGGCTGGCTGGATGATAGATGGGTGCTTGCATGAGTTGGGTGGGTGGGTGGAAGTGTGTTGTTTCAGTTGATGGAAGCATGGTTGGGTGATGGGAGATGGGAGCGACTGGGTAAATGGAGGAGACTGGGTGAATGGAAGTGGTTAGGTGAATGAATGCATGGATGGATGTTAAGACTTGGTAGATGGAAGAAGTAATTGAGTGAATGTGGGTGGTTAGTGAATAAGGGGATGGGTGGGTTGTTGAATGGCTGTCTGGATGGGTGTCTGGGTGGCTGGGTGGATAGGTGGGTAACTGGAGGGTTGGGTGGGTAGAAGGGTGGAAAGTTGGATGGGTGAATGGGGGTGGATGAGGTTGTGGTTATCCAGGTTGAGGTCAGAGAGGCTGAGTAACGAGGTTGTTGTCCTCATGGAGGGGTTATTCGGGAGGTTAGTTAGTGCAGGAGTTAGGTGAATGAGGGGCTGAGTGAAGGAATGAATGAATGGGTGGCTGGATGGGTGTCTGGAGGATGAATGTGTAAACAAAGTGGAGTGGGTAGGTGGGGTGAACAGATGGTTGTTCAGGTGGCTATCAGAAGGCCTGGAAGAAGGGAAGGGTTAAGTGAATGGAGGGTTGGGTGAATGAGTGGGCAAGAGTAGCTGAGTGGATGGATGGGTGGACAGGTGGATGCATCGATGGACAGACGGATGGATGGACAGGGGACCAAAAGTGCCTCCAGTTAACGCCCTAAAGGTCAGGGGGTACCCCTGATGGTGAAAGAAGCAGAACAGGCTCAGAGCCTGGGCCTCCCGGGTCGCCCTGCCCGGAACCCCTTCCCCAGCAAGGCCCACCCCGCCTGCGCCCAGCCCGGGGCCTACCTGGAGGCGGCGATCTCGGCCTTCTGGCGCGCGATGGCGGCGGCGCGCTGGGCGCCCTCCACGCTGTGCTCCACCTTCTGGCGGACCTTGTTGCTCTTGAGCGGCAGCACGCGGCGCTTGGTGCCCTTGACCAGCACGTTGTGGCGGTACTTGCCCTCCTCGCGGTGGCCGTCGGGCAGCGTGGTGCAGCCGTAGCCGTGGCGCAGGTTGTCCAGCCACTCGCCCTCGTAGCGCAGGCCGCTGGAGCGCTCGCTCACGCCGAAGCCCGAGCGCTTGTCGTTCTTCCACTCGCCCATGTAGGTCTCGGTGGTGGTGGCGTCGATGTCGGCCTCGAAAGGCGCGGCCTCGTCGGCGCCCTCCGCGCCCTCGGCGCCCTCGCCCAGGCTGGCCGTGGACGCCGCGTCGCTGGCGCCCGAGCTGAGGTCGCTCTTGAGGAAGCTGACGCGGCTGCGCTGGCTGCCCAGCGACGTGCGCGACTCGGCGCGCCTCAGGCGGCCCAGCAGCGCGCCCCGCTGGAAGAGGCCGCCGCCCTTGGGCGCCCGCGCCGCCTCGGCGTTGGCCAGCAGGCTGAGCGCGAAGCCGCCGCGCGGGATGGCGGCGGGGGGCAGCGTGGGGCCGTCGGGGGCGGGCGAGGCGGGCGAGTCCGGGGCCACCGTGCCGTTGCTGTGCTCGCTGCGCAGGGACGAGAGCGACGTGCGCAGCGGCGAGCGCACCACCACCGCCATCCCGTAGGGCACGCTCTGGCGCACGCCGTAGCCGTGGCGCATGCCGTTGGTGAACTGGCCCTGGTAGGTCCCTGCGGGCGAGGAGAGGGCGCGTCAGTGGCCGGCTCGCGGGCCCTGCGGGCGAGGAGCGCGCAGGTGGGAGGGCCGGCGAGGCTGCGGTGGGGATGGGGGCCGCCCGTGAGGGTGCGAGGACGTCAGTGGGCAAGCCGGGAGGCGATCACGCAGGGGTGTGAATACTCCCGGCGGTGGGAACGCACAAGGTCACCGTGGGCGAGGCAGAGTGAGGTCGTGCGAGTCACGTCAGCGTGCGAAGCTGTGTGAGCGGGCCAGACCCCGGAGTGCATGCGGTTAAACGAGTGTGTGAGGACACAAGTGGACGGCCAGGAGTTTGCGCGCGACGGTGTGACTAATTCCGGTGGTGGCCACATGGCCGGGTCACAGTGGGCGAGACAGAGTGAGGTCGTGTGAGTCACATCAGTGTGTGAAGCTGTGTGAGCAGGTGAGATCCCAGAGTGCATGCCGTTAAACAAGTGTTCCAGGATATGAGTGGGTGGCCAGAAGCAGTTTGCACAATGGTGTGAATATTTCTGTTGGTAGGAACACAGCTAGGTCACAAGTGTGCAAAATAGGATCTGTCAGTTTTAAAGTGTGAAGTTGTACAAGCAGACGAGGTTTGGTGAGTGTGAATTTGAATGAGTGCACAGATCTTGAAACACACAAGAGAGACTGAACATGCAAGAAAGTGAGTGGGCAAGACAGTGAGTTTGTGTGGTAAGGTGAATATTTGCATGTTTGGGAGTGTGCAAGGTAGTGGGAGCATGTTGAATCATGAGTGTGCAAGGCAGTGTGCACACAGAGGGTGACTGAGATCACATGAGTGTGACATAATGGGATGTAACATAAGGTCATGAGAGTATTTGAGGTCTTGAGTATGTAAGGAAAGGCAAAGTTGAGTGAGGGTGCAAAACCATTAGAAATTCAGAGTGTGGAGTGGTGTGAGCAGGCACATCTGTTGGTATGTGAGGTTAAATGCATGTGCGCAGTCATCCTATTGTGCAAGGTGATGTGCATGTTCAAGCTCATGAAAGGATAAGACAGTTCGCAGAGTAGTGTGAATGCTAGAGAGCATAGGATTCTGCTGGAAAGCATGTGAGAGTGTGTATCTGTGCAAGGCCATGTGTATAGAAGACTTATGGACATGCATGTCAGTGTCTTTTGATTATACAAGACCATGAGTGTGCAATACAGTGTGTACACAGTGGGGTAAGTGTCCAAGTTCCTGGAGGTGACATTATGAGTGTGTGAGAGGTTCTGAATGTGCAAAGCTGTCTCAGTGTTAAAGCACAGAGTAATATGTAGCACTTGAGGCTGAGTGTATGAGGTTGTGGGCATTAGGGAAACAGACTGTGTGAGACCATGTGTGTGCAGGATAGTGTTGTGTACAAGGAGATACCCGCAGTGGAGGCCCCGTGTGTCCATTAGTGTGAGCACGTGAGCTCCTGGGAACAAGAGTCTATGTAAGTAGTCCACTGAAAGCCAGGTCCCTGCCTTCATCTTCATGCCTTCAGCATGTAGAACAGTGCCTGCCATAATGTTCACTGAGTTGAGGGAGGAAATTCAGAGACTTTGTTTTAAACACAAGCTCCTATTTTACCCTGGTTAAGCAAAAAAAAACCCAAATGGCCTTCTTCCCAGCAAATGCCCAGCATGGGTAGGGAACTGAAACAGTGAGCCAGGTAAGGGAATTCCTAAGCTCAGCCCAACAGGTGTGCTTTCTGGCCTTTGCACTGGCTGTTCCCTCTGCTTGGAACTCTTTTCGTCCAGATCTGCCTGCACTTGCACGAGCACCCAGGTATCCCTGATCTACTTCTGTTTCCTATAGTATGTAGCCTTTTCTAAGATATCATATGACTTAATTATTATATTCATTGCTTTTCTTTCCCCACTAGAATAGAAGCTCCATGAGGGCAGGGATCTTTCCTGTTTTGGTCTCCAATGCAGCCCCAACAGCTGGAATAGGGCCTGGCACATAGGGGTGCTCCATAAATATTTGCTGATTGATTGGCTGAACTTGTCTGGAAACTCCATCTCATTGTGTGACCTTGGGCAACTCTCTTCCCTTCTTAAGGCCTTAATTGCCCTGTCTGTCAATGATGTGTTGGATATGAAGCTTTTAAAGTTTGGCCTAACTTTGAGATGCTGGCTTTCTAGGAATTGGGCACCATGACTCTGCAGGTGAAGGACAGTGCGTCCATGTGACTCCACACTGCCCGGTCCCTCCCAGCACAGGCTGCTCCAGCTCAGGCCTCTAGTCCTGTCCTTCCCCCAGCCCTTTCTGTGTGAAGAGACCCCATTAAGAGTCACATACAGTGCCCAGGGCTCATTGAAACCTCTCAAAGGTCCTATCAGGTGGGTCCCAATGATGATGCTTATTTACAGAAGAGGAGGATGGTGGTCTGAGAGGTTAACTGACTTCACCAAGGAAGCAGAATCCAAACCCAAATCTGTCTCATGCCCAAAGCTCACGCTCTGAGCCCACAGTTTTCTATACTGGCTGCCCTTCAGCAGCTCTAAAAAATACCAATTTCCGGGCCTCACCCCCAGAAAATCTGGTTTAATTTGTTGGGGAGGGTCCCCAGTTCTTGCAGTCTCTCTGTACAGCAGGCAGGAGCAGCCAGTGGGGAGAGGGACATCAGAGCTCCCTTCAATGACCAGCCATGAAAAACCAATGACCATAGAATATGAACTGTAAAAGGGCCAAAGAGAAGTGGAGAGAGACAGAGAAAGGCAATATCACTGGGCATTATCTCACAGAGGAAGATATAAATATGATCTTCATTTCACGGGTGGAATGGTTCAGAGAGGTTATGTGACTTGTCCAAAGTCACCCAGTAACAAAGGAGCAGAACTGGATTTGAAACCAGTTCAAATGGGCATGTGTGGCAGGTGCAGAGAATAGAGAAATGAGAGCATGGTGCAGGGGATGATCAAATGGGGAGATGGATAGATGGAAAACTAATGTGTTCCCATTTCCAAGCTCATTCCCATGTGGTCACGTTGTATGGGAGGCAGGGGGACAGATAGAGATGTGAAGTCCAAGACAAACTGATCTCAGACATCATCTAATCTGGAGAACCTTGGACAAGTTACTTCTTCTGATTCTCAATTTGCTTTTCTGGAAAATGGAAAAATAATACCCACTTTTTAGAGTTCAGGGGAAGATTAAAAAGGAGACAACAACAACAAAGAAATGAAAACAACCCAAATGTCCATCAACTGGTAAATGGATGGACAGGTAGTCAGCCACACAGTGGAATACTGGTCAGCATTAAAAAGGAATAGACTGATTATACAGCATGGATCTCAAAAACACACTAAGCGAATAAAGCCAGAGATGAACGAATACAAACTGTGTGATTCCAATTACATCAAAGCCTGGAAAAATCTAATGTAGAGTGAAAGAAAGCAGATTACCAGGGCTGTGGGTAGGAGGGATCCACTGCAAAGAGAAGTACAGGAACTTTCAGAATTGACAGAAATGTTCTATACCTTGACGGTGCTGGTAGTTACACAGGTGTATACACTTGTCAAGACTGTACACTTGAAATGCATTTTATTGCACGGAAACTATACCTTGATTTAATAATTAATTAATTTTTAAGGAGGGGAAAAAAAAAAACCGCAAACACCCCAGCACAGCATTCTGTAAATACCCATCAGAAAATCCTGTCAACTCTCCTTTCCAAGTGCATCTGAAATCCAGCCACTTCTCACCACCCCCACTGCTACTAGATGGTAGCCCAAGCCACCCTTGTCTCTCGCCTCCAGGATTTTCATAATGGCGGCCACGATGGTCTGTTTCCACCCTGTGCTCCTCTATCCATTCCTAGCACACCTATCACGGGGATTCAGTTCAACTGTAATAAAGTCAAAATCATGACACTGCTCTGCCTCTTCTCATTCAGAGGAAAAGCTCAAGTCCTTAGTGATCCATGGACCCTACCTGATCACATCCCTCTCACTCCTCTGTCCTCACTCACCTCCCCCGGTTCTCCCCTTTCCCTCAGTCCACTGTAGCCACAAAGGCCTCTTTGCTGTTCCTCCCACACATTAGCCACGGTCCTGCCTCGGGGCCTTTCTATTTGCTTCTCCCTCTGCCTGGAATGTTCTTCCTCCAGAAATCTGCATGGCTCACTCCCAGAGAGGTATTTAATGGTTCCTATAAGACTCACTCAAGGCAACACAGTTAATAAATACACCAAAACTCATATCCATGTTTAGCTGTGCTCCTTCCACTGTGCTCAGAAGAAAGAAGAAAAAAAAATCTATGAAAGGGAAAAGTGAACAAGAATAGAACAGAGAAGATGGTAAACTGGGAGAAAGACAGAAGACATCTAATCTCTGGGTTGGACAAGTTTGTGAAATTAAATCAGACAATCTACCTTTAGCTTAAAGTTGGCATGAGACGGGCTGACATGGTCCCTTTAAGCCCAAGAAAAATTGAGATTGCAACAGGAGAGCGGCTCTTGGCCACCAGTTGGGGAGGAAACGGCCAGGCTATATTAGGAAACTTACAAGCAAGTGGCAAGAGGCACAGACACCCAGGGGAGGCTGGGAGTGATGGGGCCCTGGGAAGGGGGAAAAGCCAAGTGCTGGGGCCATCCCCAGCCTGACTCTCTCTAAGACAGGACAGTTCTCCCTGGGGACAGGAAGAATGCATCCGCATCCGAAGAGAGGGAGCAGAAGGACCCCGCCCGCAGCCATCTGGCTGAGAGGAGCTTTCTGTGGAAGGAAGTGCCTCCTGATAACCTTTGGGCTGGCCCCCTCACTTGGCCTTATAGACTCTGTGAGACTTCCCACTGCCCTCAGGGTGAGGGGCAAGATTCTCAGCAGGCTACAAGGCCTGGTGTGGCTGCCCCTGGCCACCTCTCCTGACTCATCTTGAACAACTCTCCAGTCACACTTGCCTTTCCACCTCAGGACATTTGCACATGCCCCTCCCCACCCCAGCATCTTCTCCTCTCTTCCCTTGGCCAACTTCTATTGATATTTCAGCTTCAGCTTAAATGTG